TCCCCCTACAGAGCTCCCCGTCTGCCTAATCCACAGGCCTGGGACCAGTGAGATTCTTGTCGGAGCACAAAGAGTGTGAGACGCTGTGGAAGCCCACAGCAGCCAGCACAGCTGGGGAAACCAAGCAGGTCCCCAGCAGAAGTGACTTTTTTTTTTTTTTAAGTTACTTATTTTTATTTAGTAGGGGGAAGGAAGAGACGCATGTAGTTAAAAAAGTCAAACAGGTCAAAATAGCAAAGACAGTGAAGAGTAAGTTTCCCTTGTACTTCTGGTCCCTGTTCCATCTGTTAATTCCCAGAGGCAACCTCTTTGCCAGTTTCCCCCTCTTTCCATAGATAAGCCATTTTGAATATTTCAAACCTAGAGAAAATTTGAATTAATAGTATAATGATACCCATATCTCCTTCACACAGCTTTCCCAATTCTCAACCTTTTGCCACATTTGCTTTAATCTTCTCTTATTTGCATACACACGTATGTACGTATTTTTTTGCAGTTTGAGTATCAGTTTCAGGGCTTTACATCTTTAGTGCTTCAGCATGCATCACTTACATAAGCACAGCGATCATAGTTAAGAAAAGTAACATTGATTCCATAATATTATCTATTATTTCCATTTCTCCAGTTGTCCCAAAATGATTTTTATAGCCTCCCCCTTTTTCCCCCTTGATCCAGAATCACTCCTTAAATTTTGTTGTCATGTTTCTTTATGTTCTGTTTGATCTAGTGCATTCTCCCAGGCTTTCTTTGAGGGGGTGGGGGTGAGGTCTTTTATGACTTTGGCTTTAGTTTGCATCCAGGGCAACTGTTTTGGGTTTGTCTCATTGCTTCCTCCTGACTAGATTCAGGTTGAGGAGCTGTGGCAGGAACACCACACAGGTGATATGTCTCCTCAGTGCATCATATCCGGAGGTACAGCATGTCTGCTTATCTTATTCTTTGTGATGCTTAATTTGATCACTTGATTAAGGAGATGTCTGCCTGAAATCCTTACTGTGAAGGTGGCTTTTCCTCTTTCTGATTAATCTGTGGGGTGGTACTTAGAAACTGTGTCACTGCCCTATTTCCCCATCAACTTTTTCCTCAATGACTTGAGCTGTTTTTACTTAATACATAATAGGGAGTGTTCCATACCAGCACCTAGAGATCTGCTCTGTCCCCAGCACAGCTGGAGGTATCCTGTTGCCTTTTAGAGATAGTTGTCAATTTATTTACTCAGTCCCCTGTTAATGGACAAAAAGGTTATCCCCCAATCTCTTGCTACTACAAAGAGTACTGCAGGAAGGCCCTACTACATTTTTCTTAGGTACGTGTGCAACAGAAGAGATTCTTCGGTTGTACCTTGAAGGCTGAGTGGAAGTTCCACGGGAAGGGAAGGGGGTGGAGAGGACATGCCAAGACAGAGGTGGGTGGAGCACAGGTGTTATGGGAACTGCGAGTGGGAAATGAGGTCTGGATGAAGTGCTAGAGAGCTAGCAAGTGTCAAAGAGGTCAAGCTGCTTTACTAAGGTCACACAGCTAGTTAGTGGCAGAGCCAGGTACAAGACCCAGAGCCCCTGACTTCCAGGATGGTCGGTGGTCCTGTACTGCCTCCTTACAATGGCCTGGCCCCTGGCTCGTGTAACCCCAGAAAGCTCCCCCTTCCTGTGCCTGACCCAGGCAGGATTATGGAGGCCTAAATTCATAGTATGGAGTCCCTCAGTGTCACAAACAGTTAAGTGCTCAGCAACTAACCGAGGTGTCTAGGTTCAAATCCACCTAGTGATTCCTCAGAAGAAAGACCTGACAGTCTATTTTGAAAGGACGACAGCCATTGAAAGCCCTGTGGGGGACAGTTCTACTGTGACACACATGCAGTTGCTATGAGTCAGAACTGATTCTGTGGCCACTGGTTTAAGTTTGTAATTTCCTTCAGGCCACTCTGGCTCAGTCTCTGACTTGTTGGGAGAAGGGGTCACCCCCTGGGCATGGCTCACAGCGACGCTTATAGCCTTATGGAGGGGCCCTGCGAAGGCACAGTCTGGGAGGCTCTTGACCTCACCTGGGAAGAGAGGGTCAGATCTCTTGTTTACAGGGTGTCTGTCTGTATCAAAGTAGGCATTGTTCCTGGTGTTGAGAGGCAGCAACTGTAGTCTTTAGCACAGCCCTGGGAGCTGCAGGTCGTCACCAACCAACCCGTTGTTCAGATGGGGAAACTGGATCTCCAAGTCATAACCGGTAGAGCGAAGGAGAAGGCTTTAACACTTCCCTTTCATTTCCAGATCTTCTGCATCCTTCAAAGCCCAGCTCCTCGAGGAAGCCCACTCCTACCACCCTGGCCCTTCCTCTGAGCACCCCACCTCTGCCATCTGTGCCCCTCATGGGTACCTCTCTCTCCTCCCCACCTCCCCATGTTAGGACAGTGTCCCAACCTGACAACAGCTCCTGGGGACATGGTGTGGAGCACTCCTGCGAGAAACCCTAAGGGTAGAGTGGCTCAGGAATCTGATACTCCAAGTGTGAAAAGATGCTCATGGTGTGACCTTGCTTCTCTGGGCCTTGATTGGGGTCCTTTTCTGTGAAATGGGGATAATAATAGTCAGTCTCTCTCCCTCCCATGCTCCCTCCATCTCTCTCTCTCTCTCTCTCTCTCAGTTGTGAGGATTTGATGAGCCATATGTGCCGAGGACAGGGCCTGGCACAGAATAAGTATTCAGAAAACAGGGGCTGTGATTATTTTTATTATTATCATTAAGTCAGTGGGGAGGCGGCAGCAGCAGCTGCAGGCCGGGAAGGGACTGTTTGCAAACTGACAGCTGGGAGGGTGACTAACGGTGCCACAGCCTCCACACCCTCCTGCAGTGGCAGCAAGTTTGGGGAGGAGGGGGAGGCATGGGGATATGGACAATAGGCAGGATCCTACTCACAAGGGCCTGAAGGTTGGGGGTCCAGCCAACCCCAGTGGTCCCCCTATTCAAATTCTGGGCTATCACCCTAACTAGCTGTGTGACTTCAGGCAAGTCATTGACCCTCAATATCTGCTTCTGTAACACCAGGGTAGGAAGAACTCACAGCTTCCCACAGCATGAGGCCCATGGTTCCTGTACTCTTGGGGCTCAGTCATGTGCACATGTACATGTTGGGGTGGGAGTGGGGTGTCCAGGCTCGTCCTCCTTGGGCCTTAGTCTCCCTGTCTGTGGACAGCAGACAACAGTCCTGTGCTCAGGACTATCAGGCTGGCCTGCAGAGACTGGAAGACCATGGGTTCTAGGAGGAAGGGAAACCCTTCTGTCTGGAGGAGAGAAGGAAGCTCATACCAGGCGTTGAGCCAGCCACTTCCAAGTCCAGGGTCTCATTTCATTTCCCCCATAGCCCACTTATAGGAGATCCTGTTCTCACCTTCTGGGCTGAGAGATATGCAGCTCAGAAGTATGAAGTTATTTGCCCTAAGTTGGTCAGTCGGTAGGGCCAGGTTTTAAGCCTAGGTCACCCTGACTGTAGAACCAGTTGTGAGGCCTGGAAGTAGGGGTGGTCTCCCAGGCTTGGGCAGTGCTTAGGCCTCCCTAGCTCCTGCTCTCCTGGGTCACATGCCCCCCACAGCAGAGATGTTACAGCAAATACTCCAGGCTCCAAGCCCCTCAGACTCAACCCTGGTTGCTCACATTGATATCTGAAGCCCCTTGTCACACAGCAAGTTCATGTAGCCCCACTCAAAACCATTCTCTCCAAGGCATGCTGGCAAGGGGTGCTCAGGATGCTGGAGCCCCAGAGGGGTATGATCTTCTCCCACCCACCCTCACCATCAGCATCTAGCCAGGCCAGTTCCTCCCGGCCGTGCCTGTCTCCCTAGCCTTATACCTTTGCTCAGGCTGTTGACAAAGCTGGAATCTGTCCCTGGCCCACTTTCTGCCTGTCTGAGCCCCTAGTCTTCAGGGCCTGGCTCTAGTACACCCTTCTTCAGGAAGTCCACCCAACTCCACTGTCATTGTTCACTTACTTCCCTAGGCACTTGCCCTGAAACCTCCTCTCCCCACCGCCTAGCCTGGGACAAGTGCTAATATTTGTGGCCATCAGCCAGCCCCTAGACCTTCTCCATCCTGTAAAATGAGCCTGGGAACAAGGTGTGTGAAGGGATTTCTCTTCTGATGTACTGTGAACATAGACAAGTCTGTGACCCCATCTAAACTGTCACTGCCATTGACAGCATGGGGTCCATTTGGTCAGAGTTTGAACTTTATACAAATGGAATCGCACAGCTTGTCTCTCTGTGTCTGGCTTCTTGTTTGACGTTATGTTTAGCGGTGCATCACTATTTCCTCACTGTGGTTTATTTGCATTTGCTGCTGCAGAGTATTCAACTTTATGAATGTACCACAACGTGTCTGTTTTACCCCTGGTGGGCAGCTGGGTAGTTTCCAGTACGAGGTGTATGACCCATTGCACAGCTAGGGATGTTCTTGTGCCTGCCTTGGTGGACAGAGTTTTTTTCTTGGATGTGGACCTAGTAGTGGGGTGACTGGGTGAAAGGTCAGTGTAAAGTGTGCTTTCGGGATACTGCCTGGGCAAGCTTTCAGAGAGGAAGGAAGTGGGAGGCCCAGAGAGGCTCAGTGACTCTCCCAAGTCACACAGTAGCTGTGCCCTGCATTCCCTCCCCTACAAACCAGTTCACCAGCCACCAGGGCTGGGGATGTAGGGCTGATGGGATAGGTGGCAACAGGGGCTTTTAACCCTCGGAGCCTCCTTTTACCCTGTCAGCTATTCTTTCAAGTCTGTGAGGTTCCCTAGCCCTCAAGCTCCTGTCCTTCCCCTATCGAGTGCTCTTGGGAGAAACCACGAGTTTGGCCTGGAAGCTCAGGGCCATCAGCCTGCTGAGGCTGGAAAGGGAAGCCCTGTTCCAAGTCCCAGCTCCAGGAAGTCCTTGGCCCCTGTTCATGCTCCTCTGAGGAAGGGACAGGATCTCACTGACCAAATGAGGCCTGTATTCTCACACCTGTCCTTGGTCTCCCACTACCCCGTTGCAGCTCTAATGGTACCAAAGTGACAGGTCAGCCTTCCTGTGACACAGGGACACAGATCTCCTGAGAAGATGTCAGCAATACAGGTACTACAGGGCTGGGGGCCTGGGGCAGTCGAGTCTCCCATACCCCTAGGGGATGCTCTACAGAGGAAGGAGGATGGGGGCTTCAATAGTCCACTCCCACTCCCTCTTCTCAACCCTCTGTCCTGACCCTGGCTTTTAACAAAGTGGAATTCCGGGAGCACTGTCAGACACAACGCCCCCAGAGGGGCACACAGGACTTGGAGTTGTGGGAATCTTAGCCAGGAGAGACCCCAAGTCCTCTGAGGAAGGACGTCTCACCCAGGCTCTCGGGAGGAGCTGTGACCTCGAGAGTGTGGGCAGGTGGGCAGAAAGAGGCTCCTGGCTGTGCCCACCCTGTCACCTGTCACCTGTCCTACAGGCCGCCTGGCCATCCGGTACAGAATGTATTGCCAAGTACAACTTCCACGGCACTGCCGAGCAAGATCTTCCTTTCTGCAAAGGAGACGTGCTCACCATTGTGGCCGTCACCAAGGTAGTCAAAGACCTCACATGCTCGATCCCCTACCCTCCCACTTTAGGGGCTTGGTTTTTCTGCAGGGGAGGGGGGTGGCTGAGAACATGCCTGGGCTGCCCTCTCCCCAGGACCCTAACTGGTACAAAGCCAAGAACAAGGTGGGCCGTGAGGGCATTATCCCAGCCAACTACGTCCAGAAGCGGGAGGGTGTAAAGGCCGGCACCAAACTCAGCCTCATGCCGTGAGTACTGCTCAGGAGGGCTCAGATCTCCTAGACCAGGGAGCGAGGAGGAGGAGCCCTGGTTTTTCCAGAAGAGAATCAGGAAAACAGAGAGGCTAGAGTAAAGGGCTGGAATGTACATGTCACGTGCAAGGGCTTCCAGAAACAAGGGGAAGGGCATGAAGCCTGGGCCTCAAATAGGAGAAGAGGATAGGAGTGAGGACTGAAGGAAGATGGGTGTTCTGGGAGGAAGGCACAGAACATGCAGAGGCTGGGTGGATGTGTGTGTGTGTCCATGTGTGGCAGGGACAAGGAAGCAGATGAGGGCCTTGAATGCCTCACTGAGCAAGTGGGAACCATGTGCGGGGGGTGCGGTCCTGAACAAATGGAGGACCTTCAGAAAGTGGAGTCTGTGATGGGAGGCCCCCGGGTTAATACCCTTGGGCCATCATGACCTGGCCTGCCCCCCTTCCCAACCCCCCACCCCAGCTGGTTCCATGGCAAGATCACAAGGGAACAAGCAGAACGGCTCCTATATCCACCGGAGACAGGCCTGTTCCTGGTGCGGGAGAGCACCAACTACCCCGGGGACTACACACTGTGCGTGAGCTGCGAGGGCAAGGTGGAGCACTACCGTATCATGTACCACGCCAGCAAGCTCAGCATCGACGAGGAGGTGTACTTTGAGAACCTCATGCAGCTGGTGGAGGTTAGTGGGAGCCTCCCTACCAAGCTGGCCTTGCCCCGTACAGCTGAACCCCCCTGGTGGGATTTGGCATACAGTTCTGCCTTCTAGCTCCAGTCCACTACTCTGGCTGGGTGACCTTGGGCATGTTATGCAATCTCTGTGAGCTCTAGTTTCCTCATACCTCAAAAGAGCACCTGCTGCGTGTCCCGGTTGATCTCCATGGTGCTGCCACAAGAAGTGTGATACTAGCCCTATTTTGTAGAGCGGGGTTGGAGCAGTTATGGATCTGCCTGAGGTCACACAGCTATAAAGTACCTGGACTAGACTCTAGGTCTGTCAGGTCCCAGAACTAGCTCCCTCCAGCCACACACTGAACTATATGTTCAGATGTATGCATATAAGAATGTCCTGATGGAGGGATGGATACAGGGAAGAGGTAATTATCGGGAGGAAGTGGGAGGGGAGCTGTTGCATTGTGGTAAATTGTGGTCAATGTCATGAGACAAAGTGTATGTGAACTCCTGTATGGAAACTGAATTTGTTCTGTAAATTTTCACCCAAATCACAATCAATCAATCAATCAATCAATAAACAAACAAACAAACGTACGTCCTGGGGAGCTGTATACCAGAATGGCCAAGGCCTCCCAGGTTCCTGCCCCTGCAGTGATGTGCTCACTAGTGAGCACACTCTGCCTAGCTTCTAAGGCTGGTTCTGCTGGCCCAGGCCACACCTGGCATCTGGTCACTGCAGCTGGCATCCCAGATACCTCCCTTACTCTGATTCTGCTGGCCTTGACTTGGTCTGGGAGGGCCCTGGACATGGCAGGCCTCAGGGCTACCTCAGGACACTGGTGAGGCCCACAGTGGTAGCAACAACCAAGTATCTGTCTAGCACCTGGGTGTGGGGTGCCCTGGGAAATGGGCTACGTGTCAGAGTCTGGGGCCTCCCTAACCCTTGCTCTGGCGGAAATGGGCAGTCCTGCCCCCCCCCCCCCAGCAACTCCAAACTGGGCAGGACCGGCCTCTGCCGCCCTCTGGTGGTCAGACTTGGGTTGTGCATGTGAGCCAACTGGGTGGCAGAGGCACAGTAGGGCCTGCTTCTGAGGACCCTGCCCTCCCCTCCCCAGCACTACACCTCAGATGCAGATGGGCTCTGCACTCGACTCATCAAACCAAAGGTCATGGAGGGCACAGTGGCGGCCCAGGACGAGTTCTTCCGAAGTGAGTCCCACCCCCACCCCCGGTCCTTGATGGCCCAATCACCTTCTCCCAGCCACGCTGCCTAGCATTATAAGTCATCCTGGTGGCACTGGTAACCTCCGAGGAGCCCCCCCCACATCATGGAGTCCAGTCAGCCTATGTCATCCCAGCTGTGATCCCTGCCCTGGCCTCAACACTGCTCCCTGACCCCTCTCTATAGGTGGCTGGGCACTGAGCATGAAGGACCTGAAGCTGCTGCAGACCATTGGGAAAGGCGAGTTTGGAGGTAAGAGAGGAGGAGGTGGGAACTTGGAGGCATTGAGGGACTGGGGGGAGTCCAGGGAACAGCCCCAACCTTGTCTTCCTCCAGATGTGATGCTGGGAGATTACCGAGGGAACAAAGTAGCTGTCAAGTGCATTAAGAATGACGCCACTGCTCAGGCCTTCCTGGCTGAAGCCTCAGTCATGACGTGAGTTGAGGCAAGAGGTTGGGCGAATGGTGGTGGGGGGGATGAAGGGAAGGCTAACAGCCTTTACCCACCCCCACCCACCCCAGGCAACTTCGGCATAGCAACCTGGTACAGCTCCTGGGCGTGATTGTGGAGGAGAAGGGCGGGCTCTACATCGTCACTGAGTACATGGCCAAGGTGGGCACCTACCCTGCCATCCAGCCCCATCTTAGTTAAACCATGATGCATGGTCTTTTCAACTGCGTCAAGACTTCCCCCCACTGTGCCCCTGGGCCCCTGTCCCTCAATCCCCTCCCTCCAACTGAGATTTAAAATCACCTAGGACTAGGTTTTTGTCCTAGCTCCTCATTTATTGACCATGACCCTGGACACATCACGTCACCTCTCCAAGTCTTGTTTCCTCATCTGTCAAATGGAAAAAATAACAGTGCCTCGCTATGAGATTTGTGAGAATTAAATGAGATAACGCACAAATACTGAGCCTGAATGTCCAGTGTCATACTCATTCAGTGATGTCCTCACCCCCACCCCACCCCCACTCTTTCCCTTTTTTCCTGCCTCCCTTGGGTGTCACCACGAACCCAGCCCTAGTGTTCCTGGGCTGGAGGACAAATCTGACTCGTGGGGTTATTGATCTGTCTGTCCTGCTGTAGGGGAGCCTAGTAGACTATCTGCGGTCGCGGGGACGGTCGGTGCTGGGCGGAGACTGTCTCCTCAAGTTCTCACTGTGAGTGAAGCAGCCCTTGGAGGAGGGAGAGGGGGACCCCCTCCCTGCAATGGGAGAGCCAGTCTGAGGGGGATTTGTGACTGGCCTCCCCCTAGAGACGTCTGTGAGGCCATGGAATACCTAGAGGGCAACAACTTTGTGCACCGGGATTTGGCTGCCCGCAATGTGCTGGTGTCTGAGGACAACGTGGCCAAAGTCAGTGACTTTGGCCTCACCAAGGAGGCCTCCAGCACCCAGGATACAGGCAAGCTGCCGGTCAAATGGACAGCCCCTGAGGCCCTGAGAGAGAAGGTAGGCAGATTTTTCCCCAGAGTCTGAGCAGTGGGAGGTGGGTACTGGGTTACCTGCTGTCCTCAGAATCCGGGATCTAACTAACACTGCTTCTTCCACTCCACATGACAGAAGTTCTCCACCAAGTCAGATGTGTGGAGTTTTGGAATCCTTCTCTGGGAAATCTACTCCTTTGGGCGAGTGCCTTATCCAAGAATTGTAAGTGTGGGCACTGAGGTCGGGGCAGGGCTGGGATGAAGCCTAGGAGTAGGGCTCAGGAGCTTCCAAGCCATTTCCTGAACCTGTATCTGAGGTAGCAGAGAAGGGGATCCCCAGAAAAGGAATGATGGTAGGATCAGGCCCTGCATGGACTCACACTCCTTGTTGTTCACAGCCCCTGAAGGACGTTGTCCCTCGGGTGGAGAAGGGCTACAAAATGGACGCCCCTGACGGTTGTCCACCTGCTGTCTATGAAGTCATGAAGAACTGTTGGCACCTGGATGCTGCCACACGGCCCTCCTTCCTGCAGCTCCGTGAACAGCTTGAGCACATCAAAACCCACGAGCTGCACCTGTGACCATCTGCCTCCACCCAGGTCATGGGCCTGTGGGGACTGGACCTGGAGAGACTGTGGTCTTGGTGCCCCCGTTCACTGGGCCCAAACCTGAGCTGAGCCCCAGCAGGCCGGGGGCCTCCTTCCTCTGCTCCAGCCTGCACCCCCACTGGCCCCCCCAGGGATCCCACCTGGCCTGTCACCTTCTCATGGACCCAGCTGTGGGTCATGGACCCACTATAAAGAGGCCAAGAAGGCAGGAAGCTGAGGAGCGGGAGACAGATGCCCCCTACCACGGCCAGGCTTTCCCTGGCCTCCCATCTCTCGCCTTCTTAAGAGTTTTATTCCTTTCCTTTTTTGAGATTTTTTTCCGTGTGTTTATTTTTTATTATTTTTCAAGATAAGGAGAAAGAAAGTACCCAGCAAATGGGCATTTTACAAGAAGTACGAATCTTATTTTTCCTGTCTTGCCCATGAGGGTGGGGGACACCGGGCCCCTGTCTAGGGACCAGCGTCCCACCCTTGTTCCCATCCCATGTTGCGTGTCCCGTGTTGCCTCGGTCGCCCGTGTTTGCGCTTGACCATGTTGCACTGTTTGCATGCGCCCGAGGCAGACGTCTGTCAGGGGCTTGGATTTCGTGTACCGCTGCCGCCACCCACCTGCCTTGTGAGATGGAATTGTAATAAACCACTCCATGAGGACACCGCTGCCCAGCCTTGGCGCTTCCTCCGCCGAGCCTCTGTCCTGCCCAGTCCCCTCCCTGCCCTTCCCCACTGTGCCATTTTGTTCATCCCTTGTCTCTGTGAGTGGGGCTGTGCTTGCCCTGGTCGTGGGGCGGGGTGGGGAGCACGGCCGGGAGATGTAGCTGCCGCTTTGTGTCAGCTGCACGAGCGAGTGTCTTGTGTCTGCCCGTGGGTGAATCTGTCCCCTCCTCCATTGTCCTGTTGCTGTCCAGGCCTGGCTTCTTGAGCCACCTCAGTCTCCAGGGCCCAAATGCACAGGATGCTGTCTTGGGATTCTAGCTGCCTCTCTTGCTGTACTGTTACAAGCCTTCAGTTCAAGAAAGGCTAGAGCCAGGGAGCAGGGAGGAGGCCCAGCCCTGACCAGGTGGGAGTGAGTGGTCCCTAGGCAAGCCGCAGGTTCAACAGATAAAGAACAGTGGTGGTCCTGGGAGCTGAGTGGGACTCCCAATAGGAGGCAAATACTTCATGTCCCAGAGGAGTTGCTAAACCCAGAGATTGATGGGGAAGCAGGGAGCTCTGAGCATCTGGTGGTTCTTGCACTCTACCTAAGATGTAACAGCTTACACGTATCCCACACTTTTCATATGCTAAGCCTGTTACTTACTGGACTTTGCAGGGTCTGAGGGTACAAAGGTATATCTTTTGTATGGGGAGATTGAGGCCCTGTACCCAGGTGCATTCCCCACCCCACTGTGGAAGGAACAGATGGGGAATGAGAATCAGGCACGAGATTTTCTCACCCTTGCTCCTGAGGTTCTCTTAGGCAGTGGTTAGCATCCTAAGTGGAACTGGTAATCTCTGGCAGGGGGGTAACTCGCTAGATAGGAAGGTGACTGTCCAGCCATGGTTCTGCCCTTTTCCCAGCCAGCTGGACTTGAACTCCAGAGTTCTGACTTAGAAGCATACCTGTATCTTCTACTCTTCACCCTGCTGCCTGTCCAGCAACATTCTCTCCCTTCTGGCCCCATGCAGCAACCCACTCGTCTGCAGTCCACCTTTTCTGCACAAGCTAATTACAAAACCAGACCTTTCCATCCCTATATGAATACCTGCTGGGGTTTAGTAGTGAGCAAGACAGACCCTTGAGGTGTTCCCAGTAGGAAAGACACATAATCACACACACAAACTGATAAGTGCTATGAAATAAACAGCATAGGAATCTGATCTTTACTGTAGATGAGGGATGGCTTCCTGGAAGAAGCAGCATTTAAAAAGGATGAACAGGAGGTAATGGCAGCATGCCTGGAAGAGATACTGAGACTGGTAGGAAGGTGGCACGTTCTAGGGTCTCTGAGGAGACTGGTGAAGATGCTAACAAAATGTGGGCTGTGGCAAAGATGTGGCTTTTAGCAAACCAGAGCAATGGAGAGCCAGCGACAATTCTTAAGCAGAAAGGTGCTGTGGCTAGATGTCTATTTTTTAAATGATCTCTACTGATAGAGAAGGTTTGAGGGAAGCACAGTGGATATGTGGTGACCAGTAAGGACTTGTCTGTGTTGGAGATAACAGTGGGAAGTAGACAGACTCCGAGAGATTTAGAAGTAAAGTTGACCATACTTGGTGATGGAGTCAGTAGGAAGAAGAGAGATGAGCCACGGTGACGTCTGACTCTAGCAGGAGGGATGGGGTGCCCAGTAGCAAGGGTCACCTACTGAGCTAGGGAACATAATGAGGTCTGTGAAGGGCATGTTGAGTTTTAAGTTTGCCTTTGAAACTAAGAGATGTTGGGTAAGTTGTTGGGATCCAGAGACGAGAGAGCAGTTTGAGAGTTACCAGTGTATGGATTGAATTGAAGCCATGGGCCAGGACACGGTCACACTGGAAGGACATGGAGAAGAGAAAGGGGCCCAGGACCAAGCATGGATTAGGTGTTGGCATCCAAAGGTCAAAAAGAGGTTGGCCAGGCAAAGTCAACAGTGAGCAGCCTGAGAATAGGAGGAAACCAGGAGAACAGGAGTCAAGGAAGCCAAGGAAAGTTTCTCTGGGGAGGACTCCCCAGGGTCCCGGTGCTTTGAGAAAACAAGAGGTGGAGGCCCAGTCTGCTGATTTTAGCCACAGGTGGTTACAGGTGACTTACGTGAGACCTGTGTGTGGTGGGGCAGAATCCAGATACCATCACAAGAGGAAGATGTGAGCAATGTAGAGGGTTGACAAGCTGAAGAAATTGAGCTGTAAAGCAGAGGAGAGAGAAGATTCAAGTTAGAGGAGAGAGTGGGAGATTTTTTGTAAAAAGGCAGAGGCTTGAACAAATTGGCTGAGGGGAAGAACATGTGCCTTAAGATCCTATCTGAGTACTGAGAGGGAGGAGGTGGGAGAGACAGAGGGAAGGGGTGACAGTGTAGATGGTGGAGCCCTCCCCAAAGAGCTGTTCTGGAATCCAGAGCACAGGGAGATGGGCCTGAGAGGGGAGAGGGATTGTCCGGAGAACCTGCAGAGGAAAGAGGAGCCTGTAGTGGGTGCAGAGGTAAGTGCCTAACAGCCACATCTAGGGTGGGGGAGGGGGACAGGGAAGGGTCTCTGACTTACATTGTGCCTGCAGGAATCATGGACACATTGGTGCTAATTTTGGCGGTTGTAAATACTCTTGGCTTGGCAGATTGCAAGTTACCAACCTGGCTACACTGAAGGCACTGGTGGGCAGGCGAGTGGGGGGTTAATCAGCTCTGCTAGTCCAAGCAGTCTCCTCAGACTGTGAAACCTTGTCACCCCTGGCTCAGAAACCTGCAATAGTGCCCATAGCCAGAAGTCACAAAAGGGGACAGGCAGGCAACATAACAGAGAATTGGACCAGGTGTAAGACGAGTGAAGGGGCAGGGCCCAGCTGACAGGGCCCCATAGGCGTGTCTCTTTTCACCTGCTGACACAAGACTGCTCACTGCTGCCACCATCCCCGTATCTCACTCTCCTTTCTCATCTTTCCTTCCCTCTCCTGTGCTGGCCACTGACCACATACAGCAAGGGGTCACAGTTCCCCCTATTCGCAGACTGATGAGAGAACCCACTCAAGACTCAGCGCCCAGAAATCTGGGGGCGTATCACCAGTCAGCACTGAGCTGGTGAGGCAGAAGGGCAAGAGGGCCAGGGTGGCTTCTCAGGTCCCCGGTTGGAGGTCAGGGACAGCATGAGGGTGTTCCTAGCAGAGAAAGGCCTGATCAAAGGCGGTAAGATGTGACATCCTGCTAGTGTGGAGAATTTTGGGAGCTAAGTATGACTGGGGCAAAGGTGCCAAGTGATACGGTTTGGGAACATGTAAGGCTATAGGGAAAACCAGGCCCAGACCCCAACTGGCTTTGTAAGCCCCACTGAGGAGTGGTAGCTTAATACCAACATGACCAGAAGCAATTGAAGAGTTAGGACAGGGGAGCGACAAGGTCAGATCTATGTTTTAGGAAGATTTGGCCTCTCTCTGGCCTGAAGAGGGTTTGAGAGTGGGGAGGCAGGGAGATGATGGGGAGGCTGTAGTTGTCCAGGCAAGAGATGTTTGATGGTGGCCTGGACTCGGAAAGGAGATGGGTGGAGAGGAAGATAAGCACTCTCTCTGCCAGACCCTGTTCTAAGTTCTTACACATATTATCTCTTGGAATCTTCACCAAGGCTTCAAACTGGTTCAGTCTTGGCCAACAAAGCACATTCAGAACCGACTCAAATTTTTAAAATTTGGGTGAAGTAGAATGACAATCAAAATGGGAAAAATTACAAGTTAAAGCTCAAGTGAGAGACTGAGAAGAGATATAGTGAGCCCTTTCAGAAGTCTGATGTGGGAGACTGGATTATTGCCAGGACTAACCCACCAGCCACTCCTCAGAAGGAAGGTTGGGCAATCTACTTCCATAGTGATACTGCCTTGGAAACCCACAGAGGGGTCGCTATGAGTCAGATCCGACTCGATGGCAGTGTGTTGCATTGTTGTGTTTTGTGGAGGGCACACATTCAAAGATGGTCCACCACCATCTTTGAGCAGGGTTATTGTTTTCAATTCTGCCAATCAAGAGATTTGGCTGTTATGCAATGCACATGCTGTCTTTGTTTTCCAAGAGGGAGATTACGTTTCTAGCTGTGCATCGACCTGTAATTTTTCCCATTCCATTTATCATTCTGGCTCACCCACATTTTACAAATTTGGGTCCGTTCCAATTTTGCTTTGTTGGCCATGACCAAACCCAGAAGAACCAGTTCAAAGCCCTGCCTCAAACAACTCTTGGAGGTGTATACTATTATTATCCTCATCTTACAGATAAGGAAAGAGAAGCTCAGAGAGATTAAGGAACCAGATAACACAGTCTGAGAGTGTTAAGAGCAAAGCTAAAAGCAAGCTCTTAGCTTGCTGGTGGCTGGATGTAGGGGATGAGGTGAGGAAGGAGTCTAGAGGAAATTCCAAACTTTGGTATCATAAAGTGGGTCATGCCATCCATGAGACTAGAGCCCTGGGGGAGGATGGATGGGAGTTGGAGAAGAGTTTGGTGTGGATGTGTTGAGTCTGGGGGCCTTTGTGACCCCCAAGGTGGTCCCTGGAGAGTTAGACAGGAATCATGGGAACATCAATGGTGCTTGAAGCCATGGGCATGGGTGAGCTTGGCCAGAGGACACGTGGAGAATGAGGGGAGAAGCAAGCCCTGAGAAACCCCAACGTAAGGGGCAGTGAGGGAGAGCAACTGGCAAAGACACAGCTGGAGGAGCAGATGGGGTTGAAGAGAAGAAAATGAACATTGGGGGGATGGGTCTCTGAGCCCAGGGGACAGGAGACTTCAAGGATATGGCTAGAGGAGAGGGAGGGGGATTTGGGGAGCAGTTCATGTTGTAGAAAGTGGGTTGAGAAGTGTCCACTGGGTTCAAAGAACAAAGGTCATCAATGGCCTTGTTAGAGCAGTTTTCATGGGACGGTGGAGACAGGAGTGGGAGGCGTGGAAACAGGGACAGAGTGAGCCAGTGCCGACCACACTTTCCACAAGCTCAGCTGTGAAAGGAAGGAGAGCATGTGCAGGTTGTTGAGGTTTCCTGTTGATAAATGCGTTTTCTTCTTTTAGCATTTTTTAAACATTACAACCTCATTTTAATCCAGTAACTGAATCCTACTGAGAATTTACAAAGTAGAGTGAAACTTCCAGCTATCCAGAATTCTTGGCAAATGAGTCAGTCTGAAAACCCACCTAGCTTTAACAGCTGTCAACTCAAAGCCAGTACCCCAGTCACTCCCCCAACCACTGGGATACTTTGGAGCAAATTACAGAAATTATATCAGTTCATCCATAAATCCTTAGAATATTTCTCTCAAAGAAGAGATTTTTTAAAACACATCTATAATAATGTAATTACTCTTAAATTTTTTACCCAAACCCATTGCCCTCAAGTTGACTTTAACTCATGGGGACCCCATGTATATCAGAATAGAAATGTGCTCCATAAGGTTTTCCTTTTTTTCAATTTTTATTGTGGTTTGGGTGAAAGTTTACAGAGCAAATTCAATTTCCATACAGCAGTTCATAAACATTTTGTTTCATGACATCAACTGCAATTCCCCACAACGTAACAGCTCTTTTCTGCCCCCCGCCCCACCAAAGCCATCTCCCTGTGCAAACACTGCTGTTCTGTTCTCCCACTGATTGATTTTTTTGTTTGTTGTTGTTACGTGCCGTTCCGTCGCCCCGACTCATAGTGACCCCTCCTTGGGTTTCCGAGGCAGTATCACTACAAAAGTAGATTGTCCAACCTTCCTTCTGAGGAGTGGCTGGTGGGTTTGAACTGCCAGCCTTCTGGTTAACAGTCAAGTGCCTTAGGCACTATGCTATCAGAGTTCCTAAGGAGTATATCTACCTAATGTTTTAGTTCACCCCTTATGCCTATCTATTGTTTGGCTGGAAGCCATGAGAGTGAGTTCAGTTCCAGACCTGAAGGGGCCATACCCTCGGGGGGGGTCTCACCAGGCTCTATCAGACTAAGTTTACTCCATAAGTTTAGCTCCATAAGGTTTTCAGTGGCTGAGTTTACTAGGCCTTCCTCCAAGACATCTCTGGGGGGACTCAAACCTCTATCTAACCTTTCAGTTAGCAGCCAAGCTTACTAATAGTTTTACCATGAAGGGACTCCAAATTTTTAATGATAATTCCTTAATACCAATTGTACAAATTTCCCCAATTGTCTCACCTTTTTTTTTGGGGGGGGGGGTCGCTGTGGTGGGTGTTGGTTAGTTAAAGTTAAAGTTAGGCTCCAAGCAAGGTCTATTTATTTCTTAAGTCTTAAGACTCCTTTTCTTTTCTTCTTTTTTGTTTTGTAAATGTAATTTATTCTTAAAAGAACTAGATTGCTCAGAGGGATGAATGGGAGTATGGGAGAGGGTTGAGCACCACAGCTGGAGAGAAAGAAGGGCCAGGGAGGAGAGGCTGAGAGAAGGAGAGGAGGGATAGGAGTGGGTGATGGCTACAGTCAGAACATCCATCTTTGGAGAAGGAGGCAGGATGAGAAGCTGTCCCTCAGCAGAGCGGAGAGGCCAGGGTTCTAAAGGATGGGGCCTGTCCCTGTGAACTTCAGGGGGCCCCCACAGCAGCTGGCAACAAAGTGGAAAGGTGGCCTGTGCCCAAGAGCAGGGGTTGAGCACAGGTTGAAAAGAAAGGGCTACAGGACAGCCTAAATCAGGCTGGAGGTATGGGAGGTGGGTTGAGATCAGACCTGGAAGAAACAGGATGTGTGTGCTGAGGGGAGGTGGAGGGAGGAGACAGTGCCAAAACTCAGCTCCTGGCCCAGCCCCTGCTCCTCCTGGCCTGGCTAGGTCCCAGGAGCCCCACCCTGACCTCCTAGCTTCAGATCCATTCTAAGGCCTAGAGATCAGATCCGTTCACAATGCTCAGGTCTGTGGATCCAAATCCTTGGCTCTGCCTTCTCGTCCTGCTTGTGGTCCCCCATAGCCATGAGGGGGCCCATTCTCCTCAGCGCAGGTTTGAGTACAAGTTCAGCTTCAAAGGACCAAAGCTGGCTTTGCCTGGGGCTGGAATACCTTTCTGGAGCCATCACGGAGGTGAGGGGCATGGGTGGGAACCAGCCATACAGTGGGTCCCTCAGATTTCTGGAGGGATTGACCAGCTCTGGGTGGCTGTGACTTGGGGAGTGGGCCTGCTAGTGCCAGCTTGTGCCCAGGATGGAGCCAGCCCTGGGACAGGCAGTGCTGGGGGCCATAGCACCCAATTGGACCAGGACCCATCCCAGGCTTGGCTCCTTCTCTACTCACCACAGCTCCACCCCTACCCTCCAGCCTCAGTTTCTCCTTGCTGCCTTTCTCCTCTATCCTAGGACTTCTCTCTTTTTGTCTTGCCTCAGGGTCCCCTCCCCCATTCCTCTGCCTCTTGGACCTGTGACCACACACACACACTCATGCTCAAGTACAGACACATAAAACAAGTCAACTTGGATCAACACAAAGCCCCTTCTCTGACTTTATCTTGTTGGGCCTGTGGCTATACAAGAGAATTGGGGCCACCTGGACCAAGGCATCCTCACATCCAGCTGTTAAGCCAGAGATGGTATCTGACCTTCCTGAATGTGTGCTGGAGTGGAAGCATATTAGCCCACAGGTCTGTGTTCCAGACCTACAAACCCAGACCCACAAAGAACCTATCTTCTACCTGATAGTGTTCCAGAAAGGATCTGTGATGTCTTATAAGACCTAGAAAATAGAGGGGAGCCTAACATAGGAGAAGAAGTCCTAATGGCACAGTAGTTAAGTGCTTGGCTGCTAAGCAAAAAGGTCAGTGGTTTGAACTCACCAGCTGCTCTGCAGGAGAAAGATGTGGCAGTCTGCTTCCATAGACTACAACTTTGGAAACACTATGAGGCAGTTCTACTCTGCCCTATAGGGTTGCTGTGACTTGGAATTAACAGCAATGAGTTTTAACATAGGAGTGAATAAGAAGAATGAAGCTTAGGGTTAGGGTTGGGGTAGCAAATGAATCCAGGAATGTGGCTCATTGCCAAAACGTGTGCTGTGAGGTCTGCCCACCTGCCATAGTTGAGCCATGGATTTGGTTCAGAGCCTCCTAGCAGGCAAAGCAAAGAGAGAAAGCAGATGAGTTATATATTTCTGTAACTATTAGACACACAGAAATATGATTCTTGACTGAAACCAGAATAAAAGGCCATGAGAGTCCCCTTAAAGATTGAAGCCCCTTAAAGTTCATGGTCCCTGTCAGCAAGGTCTTTTGCCCAGTCCTTCACAAGAGGTAAACAAAGGACCAGGCTGTTTCTCACTTCATCAAGCCCGGCCCCACCATTTGCTGCTCTGGGCCTTGCCAAGTCCAGGGCATCATAGACCACACGCAGGAGCAAAGGCACATTCTCCACATTCTCCAAACCCAACCAATGATAATGTTCACTTTGTATTCAATCATTCTTTCTTTTATGCAAATCCTACCCTCTGATGCTGCTCTGTGCTCAGCCCTGCCTGGGCCCCAGAGACACAGGGCTCAGTTAGACTCTAGGAGCCCACAGTCTGGGGACAAGTCCCACAAACAATTCACATGTAGGCTAAATGCATATGTGTGACAGGCGTCAGACACCCCTTTCCTCCTGCAAGTCACTTCGGAGGTAGTGATGGCTTCCAGAGGTCCCAGGACTTCTTTCTTGCAGCCTCTGAGCCTCCCTGCCCCCACACCAGTCTTTGTAGAGCAAACAGGCTGGATTAGCAGCCTCCAGAAAGTCCTGGCAGAGCCCTGGGCCCTGGGCCAAGTTCCAAGCTGGCAGGTTGGAGGGGTAGGGAGCCAGTTGGGCTGGGGCCTCTGCTCTTCTTCCCTTATCCCTGGCAACCCCACCTCAGTTTCTTTCTCCTTTAATCTTTCATACCACATAGACCTCTTGTCTCCCCACCCCCACCCTATCAATGATAGTTCTCATACAACACGTCCCATCTTTCACCCTTTCTTCCCAGTCCTGGCGGCTGGTTCCTCTCTCTGTATCTTTGCTTTCATGCTTTCCTTACCTTGGAATGTCCCCAGGTCCCCTCCCGCAGGACACCCCTAGCCTCCTCTGGCCACTCTGAAGTATCCCACTGAGCTTCCACAGCCTTGAGTCCTGAGCCACCACGTCTCTATTCTCTGATAAAGTGTTCGCTTGTGTTCTGTGGTCTCAGGCAAGTCCTCACTCAGAGGGCCTCAGTTTCCTCATCTGAGAAATGTAGAGAATTAGGCATAAATATCTCCTATGGTGGGTAAATTTGGCACTTTGGAGTCAGACGGAGCTGAGTGCCTATTGGTAGTTCTTAACTTTCCTAAGCCTTAGTTTCCTCATCTGTAAAATGAGAGTCTCATAAAAATGGACCTCAGAAACATGTGATGAGGATTAAGTGAGCCTGCAGGTCAAGTGCTCAGCATGAGGCTGGCACCTCCTTGCCCTCCCTTTTGGCAAAGGCCCCTCAGCTATGCTGGGCTCTGATTCCCAGGACTCCAAAGGATCCCTGTGTCTGACCAGCCAGCCTGTGATTAAACAACAGACCTTGTTACCTGCGTCTCTTCCTGAACCTAGCCCAGGCTATTGAGAGAGAATGACAGGGACCCAGGAGTATGGGGGAGAGGGGGTGCTGTCCTGAGCTGCCATGGTCCACAGACGCGATCCCAGGCCTGGAGGAAGTGCGGCTGACCCCGTCTATGCGGAATCGGAGTGGCGCTGTGTGGAGCAGAGCCTCTGTCCCCTTCTCTGCTTGGGAGGTGGAGTTACAGATGAGGGTGACTGGGCCAGGGCGCCAGGGAGCCCAGGGCATGGTGAGTGGCCCGCATCAAGGCCCGGCAGAAGGGGCAATTCAGGGGGGGTGGGGGGTGAGTCCTACCCGGGTAGGTCCTGGGGTTCCAAGGTCCTGCAGGGAGCCTGAGCTTCTGGGCTGGGGGCCTGCAGGCTGTGTGGTACACCCGGGGCAGGGGCCAAGTAGGCTCTGTCCTGGAGGGTCTGGCCTCGTGGGACGGCATCAGGATCCTCTTCGATTCGTTGGCCGAGGGTACCCAGGTGAGTAATAGTCTCCTGTCCACCTGTCCATGCCCTTCTGCCTCTTCCCATGCCCATAGCTCAGACTGCTGTCACCTCCCCTGCAGAACAGCCCTGCCATCCGTGTGCTGGCCAGTGATGGACACACCCCCTATGAGCAACTTGGGTAAGACCTGTCTGGACTGACCCTCACCCCCACACCTGGGCTGGGAGGGCTTCAGCAGTTACCTGATTGCTTCATCGGTGCCCCTTCCCCAGGCCCAGACAAGGAGCTCATCCTTCTTGAGGCCAAGGTTCTTGCGACCTCTCTTCTCTGACCTGATGGTCCTCACAGTCAGAGCCCCTCTGACTCGGTTTCGGCTGAGCCTCTGGGGCTCCAGGACCAAAGTTTACTTGTCCTTCTTTAGAATTGCCCCACTGAGTCCTCAATTCATTCACCTCTGCAGCTCTACGTCAGTGGAGGGAGTGAAATGGCAAAGGCTGAGGTCTTGGGTCACATGTCTTTGTTCTCATTAGCTCATCTCATCCTTAACACCCTTGATCAGTGGAGATTATTAGTGCCCATTTACAGGTAAGGACATTGAGGCCCAGAGAAGTGACTTGCCCAAGGTCACACAGCTGTGTGCAGAGCTGAGACTTGGGCCCAGATTTGCCTGTGGAGGGGCCATGCCCTTGCCCTGCTGGCTGCCTGCTGCTCCTTTCCTTTCTCCTGGATGACGTGGCTTCCCATCCTCAGTAGTTGGGCCAGTTTGTCAGTGTCTCTCAGCAAACATCCTTTAGCTCATAACAATTAGAATAATTGCTGACATTTATGGAGCTGAGCTGAAGTGTGCCGGGCACAGCAAGCACTTCAAGCTCATTGTCTTAGTTAATTTAACCCTCATAACAATGTTTACGAGATAGTTGTGATTATTATCCTTATTTTAAAGATGGGGAAGCTGGGGTTTGGGCAGGTCACACAGCTGGGAGTGCAAATCCAGGTGATTGCTATGGAGCTGGCTTTTCCCCAGCTTTGGGTGGCCTCCTTCTCGACAAGGACCTGTAGAGACAGGTGCTCTAGTATGTCCGGTGTGCCCTTTGGACCTCAGGACCTCTCCGCCAACACTCTTCTCCCAACTCCCCAGACCTGCTGCACCAGCCATGTGGGAGAGATGGGCTGACCATGTCATCCTTGGCCATGTTTCATGTTGTCTGGCCTGCATGTGTCCTGCTGCTGTCTGAGCCCTTGGCAGAAGTGGGAGGGAGGAGAAGCTCCATCCAGAGGCACAGAGGGACTTAGAATCGAAGGGAAGAGGAGGGGAAAAAGGATAGTGGGATGAGGCAGTGGGCTGGAAAGAGTTGAGGGGGACGCCACCCACTACCATTGATCTGGGCCTCTGTCCCCGTGGGGAAGGGCCACAAGGGAGCCCCTGCCCCTTCTCCTGTAAACTCCAAGTCCCACCGCTCTGACAGGAAGGGCTTGACTTCCTCCCTTCTGCTAAGGGAACAGACTACAGCAGAGGAGACTCAAGCTAGACAACAGGAGGCCTGTTCTGTACCAGGTCACCCAGTGGGGAAAAGGGTGGCATTGCAGGTCTGGGCAGAGTAGCCTCTTGGACCAGCCCTGCTGGCCAAGCCTTGGGCCCTGTGTGGCCCAGTTGGATTCTGAGTATCCTCAGGGATGGAGCCAGCCGGGTACTGGGCTCCTGCCACCGGAACTTTCGGAACCGGCCGTACCCCTTCAGAGCACGGATCACCTACTGGGGGCAGAGACTGCGTGTGAGTTACCCCTCTGGCTTTTGTGGCTCCTTCCAGTAGGGAGTGCAGATTACAAGGCCTCCAAGGTACATAGTTGCAGTGTGTGAGTGCCCATGACCTTAGTCAAGATGTGTCTATGACTCCATGTGGGGCCCCTGGCATGCACGTGAGTCCTCATAGTATGTAGGGCCCCTGGAACAAAGGGGCAACACTCACATGGGATCCTCTACTTGTACATGGGATCCTCACACTCACCCACAGCACGTAACTGTGAAGGCTGACATGGGGCCAGGTGTGCAGGCACCTCCATGCCATTCTGGTACCAGGTTTGGTGGTGCCTGCTCTCCTTCAGGACCAGGGGTGCAAGGAGTCAGAGGTAGAGACTTTTCCCTGTGCTTGGGTCAGGAGAGAAGAGGGCACCCTATCGCCAAGGAGCTCACTTCCTCAATGCCCTCAGGTATCCTTGAACAGTGGCCTTACTCCCAGTGACCCAGAGGAGGTCTGTGTCAATGTGGGACCCCTGCTTTTGGCCCCTGGAGGTTTCTTTGGCATCTCAGCAGCCACCAGCATCCTGGCAGGTGAGGGCCCTGCAGGCCAGGCAAGAGCAGAGGGGTGGTGCCTCGTGAATCATCTTAAGCATACCTTCTAAGGAACACTGAGTGTAGAGTAAGCCACTCCTTGCTGTGTGACCCAGGCAAGTCACAAACCCTCTCTGGAACTCTGTTACCATTGGTGGGGAGGTAACGTCTTTCTTGCAGGGTTATTGAAAGTCTCAAATGAGATAAAACACTAGAAGCTTTTATACCAGTGTTGGCTCCATAAGTGCCCCTAGCTGGGAGCTGTGGGGCAGGTAGAAGAAGAATATTTAGGGAAACAGCTCAGAATGATGCGATCTTATGGAGGCCCACCACCAGAAAGCAGGCTGCAGCCACAGGGTAGCTGGCAGTCCTTGAATGCTGGAAGATCGATCTTTAGACCCTGGGCAATGGGGAGCCATAGAAGCTTCTGAGGAGAGTAACGTGGTCAGAGTCACGCCAGGAAAGTGGCTGTTGTGTGGTTGCTTCTGCCAGGAGCAGCCATTCCATGGTTTAGCCCAGGATGTTAAGTGATTGTTCAGTTTTCCCATTCACTAGGGGCCCATTTCTGGCTGTATGTAGGGAAACCCTCACAGCCCACCCATCTACTTATCTGACTCCTCATACCTTCCATGAGGAATGAACAAGACAAGGCTTAAAAAACTTCCCACAATTACCCTGATCTCTCACCTCCCTGGGATATGAAGGGGCCTGGGGTGAGGGCTGCACGAGTGGGTTGCTGGAGGAAGGAGTCTTACTGCCCTTCTCCATCCCCCACTCCAGATGACCACGATGTCCTGTCCTTCCTGACCTTCAGTCTGAGGGAGCCAAGTCCAGAGGTGATGTCAGCCCCAGGCCCGCTTCTGAGGAATGGCTAGGGGAGAGGCAGCCCAAGGACCTTTCTCTCCTCCTCATCCCTGTATGCTCAGGCCAGAGCACCCTTAGACCTGTCAATGCATCTGTTATCCCCACCTGTTCTCTGAGCTCTGCTCGGGCCAGGCCTTGTGCTGGGCAGTGCCGGGGGACAGAGGTGCCCCAGAGCTGGGCCCTGTTCTTGAGGACCTCTCCAGCTGGCAGGGGACAGGCTGTTATGCTACAGCCAAGAGTGATCAGGACTGGATGTGGAAAGATGCCAAGGACTGAGGTGGCACAGAGGAAGGTCCTAGACCAGCCAGGGGAGCAAAGAAGGCTGCCTGGAGGAGTTGAGTTGAAGGTGCAGCAGGAGCTAGCTGAGCAGAGGAACAGCATGTACAAAGGCCTGAGCAGGCTTGCTGGGATCTGGACTGCAGTGGGGAGGGAAGAGTCTGAGGATCGGCAGTGGATGCAGGGCTCAGAGGGCTGGATGCTGCGGGCCTGTGGCTGACTTGCAGAAGAGCCAGTGCTCTCCTCTGGCTGGAGTCTATCTGTGATCAGAGAGGGAGACTGGACTTGTGGGGAGACCTGTAAGAAGGCTCCCCTCACCCCCAGATCACCCACGGTCTTTAGTCTGTTTTTGTCTTCCTCCTCCAGCCTCCCCCTGAGCCTTTCCTAGAGATGGAGCAGCTCCGCCTGGTGAGGCAGCTGGAAGTGTTGCGGGCAAGGCTGGCACTGGGTACCACGGGGGATGCAAATTTGAAGCCAGACTCCAAAGCCCAGGAAGATGGTAGGGACCCAGGAAATGAACAGGTGGGGTGGGGCCCATTTCAGTGTCTCAGGATCCTCCCCCCTTGAAACTAGAGATCCATTAACCAATGCAGAGTTGGAGGCCTGAGAGGCCATATATGAATAGGACCTGGGGCCCAGATATCCTTCCTGTCCCCACCCTACCACCCAGATACATCTATTCAGGTGAGGGTCTTGGAAGTATGAGCCACGTCTCTCTGGTCCCAACCTCCAAGAAGCCCCCAAATATAGGCCAGTTGCTCTGCCCTAGAAGGCTGCTGATCCAGCTCTGTTACACCTGCAGGGGAAAAGCACTTTGACCTGGAGGAGACACTGGGCAGACACAGTCAGATCCTGCAGGCTCTCCAGGACCTCTCTGAGCAGTTGGCCCAGGCTGAGAGACAATGGAAGAAGCAGGCTGGATCCCCAGGCAGGGCCAGACCTGGGGAAGGTTGGGTAAGTGACCACTCTGGCATCCAAATTCCCCCATGTAGGCCACACTTCAAGGACATCAGCAGTCTCCCTCCTTCCAGAAAGGGGAGCAAGCACTACACTCCAGAGCTAGTCTCTCCAAGGTCTGGAGGGACAGCAGGACTAGAGAGAAAGGCTGCCGATTGCAGGATATGGTGGGCTTGACAGGCAAGGGGGTGAGCAGGAGGCATCTCTGCACAGCAAATTCTCACAAAATCCTGTGGCTGGGGTAGAGAGAGGAGAATACCAGGTATCTGGACTCCAGTCTGTAGTCAAAAGACAGAAATAGACTGTGTGCTAATTTGCATGGAGCGTCACATGTGATTTGCATACGGCTTGCTTAATGCTCAGATGCACCAGAATCCTCATTTCATCTCAACTGCCATCCCCAGTCCTCCTCCAGGGAATCATGCCCCATGGCACGCACAGCTCATGTTAGATGTGGAACAGAAGAGGCCAGCGGCTCTCATGTGCGCTTTGCTGGACTCTGATAGCTCAAGGTTTTAATCTTGTATGCTCTGGCCAGAGCAGCTTAGGCTGGGTTGCTGGAATGGGAAAGGGGGGAGGGAGCTATACTCCACAACCAGGTCTCTCTGATCCTATCTCCAAACCCTGGAGCCCTCCTGCCAGATTCCATCCTCCCCAGATTGGGGCAGCTACCCCTCTGGGTCACCCAGCAAGCAGGTACCCAAGAGTTGGAAGTTGACTAGCACTAGGTCCCAGAGTGGGCTGTGCGCTGGGAGAAGGGGAAGGGAGAGGACTGGGCTTAGCTTCTGCTTCCTTCAGGGGGCAGAGCCACTTCTAGAAAGAGAGGGGGTTTGGAGAAAGCACAAGAGTGGGCGTTGCACGTGTGTGAGTGTGAGGGGGATACAGCCACCCTCAAAGAGAGGAAGGGAAATCCAGAAGCTCAGATGGATGTGGATCAGATAAACTTAATGTACCCAAGGTTGGGAGGGTACATTAAGTTACTCTGGTAAGACGTTAAGAAAAGGGCTGCAGTGTCACTGGGGAAGGTGAAGGGGGCTGGGCCCTGGACCCTAGAGAAGAGACTGGCTCTCCTACAGGACTCTGCCAAGGTCAGCACCCTGCTCCGTGGGCAGCAGGCCCTGCTCCAGGACCTTCAAGAGATGAGGTAAGGGCACAGGGCAAAGAGGGGGTTCTGAAGGAGAGGTAACTTGCCTCTCCATTGGTCCTTTGTTCTTTCATCATTTCCTGAGCACCAAGGAAGGACCTAGGGGCAAAGTTAGGTTTGTTGAGTCATTCTGAATTTAATTGAATCAAGTTTAAGGTTTTGAAAGTCTTAGTTCAAAACCAAATCTCCTTGGGAGGGCCCCTTGTAAAGGCCCCTATTAGACATTGCCACTGGAAGGAAGGTTGGGCAATCTACTTCCATAGTGATACTGCCTTGGAAACCCAAGGAGGGGTCACTATGAGTCGGATCTGACTCGACAGCATGTAACAACAACAACAACAACCCAGAGAGGGTGGGAAATCTGAGCCTTTCTTTAGTGACACCTCCTGGAAGGAGGGGACATTTTGATGGAGATTCTTGGAGAGAGGACAACCAAGCTCATGTCCAGTTGGAGGAGGCCATCCTGGACTTTCTTTTGGCCCCTTCCAAGCCTCCCAGCATCCCACTCTAGCCCCGTCCTCTGAAACTACCCACAGAGCCCTGGGCAAGGGGTCCCCTTGATGCCATGGGGAAGGAAGGCTCAGCTGGATGCTGGAGCTGGAGCTCAACCTACAGGCCCACCCAACACACACATCAATATGCTTGGGGATAATATAAAGGGACAAGGGGGTGGAGCCAAGTCCCCTAGGGCCTAGCAATGGAAGCAGAACCCAGGGAGCCTGGGGTTGAGACAGACAGCTTTAGGGAAACCTTTCTCTAAGCCTATCCCAGGATCCAGTGAAAAGGTTTAGGGTGAAAAGACTAGTCTGAGAACAGGCCCTATGGATGGGGCCTGTTCCCACCCATGTGCTTCCCTTGGGGATTGTGGGAAATGGTAAGTGACTATGGTGTAGCCAGGTAATGAGTCATCTTCCTTACCCCACCTCAGGGCTGCAGCTGCCCGAATGGCCTCAGGAGCCCAGGTCTTCTACCTGCCTGTGGGCACCAAGCATCATTTCTTGGAGTTGGGCCAGACCCTGAGCCTCCTTCAGAAGGATCTTCGGGGCCTGGTGGTGAGAGGGGAGGCACAGGTGAAATGGGGACCCCATCCCTGAGGTCCAGGCTCAGCCAGTCTTCTGGCCCTTCTGCAGACCCAGGTACCTCTTGCCCTTTGCCTTCCCCTCCTGGGACCACTGGCAGGCACACCTGTGGTTAAATCTGCGTGTGCACACATGTATGCACACAAGGACCCAGAAGTGATCATCTTTCTGCTCTTTGGAGAGTCTCAGGTTCAGATTCTCAGAGTCAGTAGGACCCTGGGAGATAATTCAGTCCAATTCCCTCAATGACCAGAAAGGAAATCATTCAGAGATCAGTGGTGATGGCCGTACCCCACTTTACTCTTTCCCTTGCCCTCACCCTCATCCTGTCTTTTGTTCTCTACTCCCCTCTCTCATCTCTTGAGCCTTCAGCCCCCAGATGATCCCAGGCCCCAGGCCTCCCAGCTGTCCCCACAGATGGAGCCATGGGAGCTGGGCGGGAGGAGGAAGCTTTGTACTCTACCCTTTTCCAAGTTCCCTGGATGAGAGCCAGGTGCCCCAAGCCTGGGGGAAGGAGATACAGCCCACACATGGCCCAGATTCACGGTTCTTACCCCGCTCCTGGCTAAGAAGCTGACCTTAGAATCTTCCCTTTCAGAAATCATCAGCCAAGGTCCCCCGCCAACTGGGCCGGCCCCCAAAGGCCTCCTCATGCCTGCAGTCTGGCTTCTTTCTGTTCTTCCTCTTCATGCAGACTGTAGGCTTCTTCAGCTATGTGCACTTCAGGTGGGACTTCCCGTGAGCAGAACTTCCTATACCTTCCCAGTGCCTCTGGTTCTGGGCAGGGCTGTTGATCTTCCCATTTCAGAGGAGGGGGGGCACTAAAGCCCAGAGAAGACCTGCCCTGTCTGGCAAGGAGCAGAGCCTAGGCTAGACACATTCATTCAGTGGGCACTGCTGGCCACCTGCTGAGCCCTGACCACCACCCTCCACCTGGGCTCCACCCTCATAGAACTCACTAGCTAGTTTGTAAAACTGATGAGTAACGAGTAACCAGCAGTCACATCTTACATGGGCAGTGCCATATGGCAGTACACAAGAACTATAGGAATGCAGGAAATGGTACTTGACTCAGCTTGGGGAGATCAGGGAATTGACCTGGAAGAAACATTTGCTATGGGTCCTTAGGGTGGCTAGAAATTCTCCAGCCTCACCAGATAGGTAAAAGCACTGATATACAGAGAACAGCAAGGCATGGAAGCATTAAAAAAAAAAAAAAAAAAAAGGCATAGTAGTTTGGAAAAAGGGTGGCAAGTTCAGTACTCTTGGAGCAGAATGTGGGACCAGTGTGTGGAATTGGACAAAGAGAATTAAAAAGGTGGCAAAGATATATCTCAGATATTGCATGGGACATATTTATACTTAAAAATTATATCACTAACTATTGCCACTCAATGTCAGTGTCCATGTTTGCACTATTTATGATGAAATTGGGGCCAAGCAGTAGACTTTAGCTGTAATTGTTAGTGAGAAAAGAAAGGCAGTCTAATCTTAGTGTGATGTGGTCATGCCCTGAAGATGGAATTATATCTCAGAAGTTTGAAGAGCACAGTTGCAAGAGAATTGAGTTTTCCAACATACACTGTAGGCTAGCCATGATGGATTCTAAAAAAAAATTGCCCCTTAACAGGTCTGCCTTACAATAATGTTGCAAGCAGCCATTTAGCATCAGCAAGAAAAAAGTCCATCACATTGCATGCATGTTGTTAGTTTGAATTTTGGTGGGTTTTGCAGTATTGTATTTAATTTATAAATTTGTTTTGATTTTATTGTTTATAATGGGTGCTATATAAGGAATTCTGGTGTCACCATGCCTAAGGCATTTGATTGTTAACCAGAAGGTTGGTGGTTCAAACCCACCAGCTGCTTTGTAGAAGGAAAATGAAGCCATCTACTTCCATAAAGATTTACCACCTCAGAAACCCAATGAGGGCCGCTATGAGTCAGAATCAACTTGATAGCAGTGGGTTTAGTTTTTTTATTTATATTTAGTTATAAAACTTTTAAAATATTTATTTTTTATTCATTTAATATTTAAATAATATTAAGTAAAATACATTTAAACAACAACAACAACAAAAAACAAAGGTGGCAGAGATAGCTGTTTTGGCTTAGTGGGTATTTGCTGAATGAATGGAACATTTAGAGGTATAGAGTATGATATGGGCCTCAGAAATGGGACTTGACAGTCCTTCTTGGTGGAATTTCAAGACCAGAGGAATCAATGTGGCCTGGAGTGGTCCTGGAAGAGGGGTGAAGTGTGCTGAATTTTAAAGGCTGAAAAGGGAAGGGAATGGCCTTCCGGGTAAGGAGAACAGCAGAGGCATGGAAGGGGTACTTATGCATGTACATAAAAGTATGGCAGACAGTAAGACTGGAACAACCTGAATATAGGTGGGGGTGGAATGTATGGGTGTGATGTGGCAGGCCAAGGGAACCCTAGAGGTCCCAGTGCAGGGGACGCTGTGTTGCAGTTTGTTTGGGGAGGTGAATGTGGGAGGGTTAGCCTCAGAGGCTAGAAGGGAGAGCCCAAGTAACCTATTTCTTCTTTCCCTGGCAGCAGACAGGAGCTGGACAAGAGCCTTCGGGACTGTTTGTCCCTAGGCAGCCTTCCTCTGAGCCCTGAACCACACGTCCCCAGGACTCTGGGAGTCTTTCGAAGGCAGCCCCTCTCCCCCAGCATGCATTCATGATCTACTGCAAAACCCAGGGAAATGCCCACTTCTCATTAGGAAGCAGATGTTGTCTGGGGAGTGGAGGACTTGACAGTTGTGCCTTCAAAGTGCCCTTTACTCCTCTCCTCTGAGTGCCTAGCTCCTACCCAAACCTATGCTTTGGGGGCATTTCCACTTTATTAAAGGTAGATTTCCCTCTCCCTAAGCTTTGATATGCTCATTTACCTTCAGGCTTTCCCCTCCTCTGAGCAGGTACCTGACCTCCAAAAGACCAGACATTCCACAGTCTTTAAACCCTGGACTATGGAGGGACAGGGGGCAGTGGAGGGAGGAGCGATCACAGCTGTGTATAATTTTGTCTCTAAGTTCACCTAAAACTGAGAGTGGCCCAACCAGCAACAGCAGGAGCAACCCTCTCACTGCCCACTCACCCTGCAGCTCTAGAGGTTGGCAGAGCAGGCACCTGACAGAAGAACCCTGAGAGCAAGAACTCCTGGAACCATTTAATTGGGATTCTTGCTGTTTTTTCCCCTTTCCCAAAGCCAAGCTCTTTAGACAGCTGTGGGGGCAGTGGGTTGAGGGGAAGAATGGGGTAGGATCCAGGACTGGGTCCTTGTCCCCTAGCTGTTCCCAGGTGACATCCTGGTTATCTGTGACCCATGAGAGGAGGAAGTGGGGTAGGGTAGGAAACAGTGTTCTAGGCACATATTATTAGTGCAGCCCCTTCCCCAAGGGAGCGACCCCACCTCCTCAGGCCCTAATCCGTTGTCAGCAGTGCCCAGAGGAGCTTGGAGTTGAAGGAGGCACGTGGGGAAGGCGGGAGTGAGAAGCGGGCACGTGGTCCAGCCTTCTCAGCCCCGTGCATGCCCCCCGCCCCCCGTAGGGAGGGGTTTGTGGAGGTGGGGGCGGTCCTGGGCAGAGGGGGTGGTTGGGCGGAGGGCGGTGCAGAGTGTGGGGCACTGAAGGGCGGCGGAGCTGTTCGCAAGACCTAGTGCTGAACTAGGCGCTGACGTGTCCGGAGCCCGGCGAGTGGTAGCCGGCGCCCCGTGCCCGGGTTGGCAACTACCATGGCGTTCATGGTGAAGACCATGGTAGGCGGCCAGCTGAAGAACCTCACTGGCAGTCTAGGGGGCGGCGAGGACAAGGGGGATGGGGAGAAGTCCGCGGCCGAAGCGCAGGGCATGAGCAGAGAGGAGTACGAGGAGTATCAGAAGCAACTGGTAGAAGAGAAGTAAGTGGGTCCCCTTCCCGGCTCCAAAAATACACCCCACGGACTTCTGGTCCGCCCCCCCAGGCCAGCCTCAGCCCCAAGCCCCCTTTCCCTCCTTTCCTAGACACGTTAAGAGGATAAGAAGCTGGGATGTGCCCTCTAGGCTGCCCCTAGGGCCACCCCATCACAAACCCAGCTTCTCAAACCCTGCCCCAGTTTCATACTAGGTCCCAGAGGGAATGGGAACAGGGGGTGACAGAATCTAGGGATGGGGGGAGCACGTGCATTTCTGACGAAACAAGTAATCCCTTAATCCTCTCTGGTCTCAGCCACCTGGGTCTTCCAACTGGGGATCCTCTGAGCCTGGGGTTCTGAGATAAGAAATGCAGCTGAGGGGCACTTAGAGTCTCCGAGGCAGGTCCTGAGATGGGGACTTTCATAAATATTGAGCTTACTAGTGAACTGGCTGTGCTGGGCCAGGGCAGCTGGAGTGGAGTTAAGGGTTGGACTCTGGGGCTCGTTGCTTGGGTTCAGATCCAGGCTTTGCTTATCAGGTGGGTGACTTCAGGCAAATTACTAATTTTTCTGTGGCTGTTTCCTCTTCTGTAAAATGAAGATGGTAATCATGATTTTTTAAAAAATAATAATAAATTTAATATAATTTGAAAAAACAGTTGCCTTTGAGTGACTCCTACTCTTGATGACCCCATGTGTGTCAAAGTAGAACTGTGCTCCATAGGGTTTTCAATGGCTGATTTTTCATAAGTAAATCACCAGGCCTTTCTTCTGAGATGTCTTTGGGTGGATTCAAACCTCCAGCCTTTCAGTTAGCAGCTAAATTTGTTAACTGTTTGACCACCAAGGGACTCCATAATACATTCTTTATATTTGCTATGTGGATTAAATGACTTAATGCACGTAAACCACTTAGCACAACGTCCAGCACGTGGTAAATCCTCGATAATTGTAAGCCATTATTATTTCACTTAATCCTCATACCGGTCTTGTGAGTTACAAGATCTTATCCTCATTTTATAGAACAGTTAAGTAAGTGACTTACTCAAGGACATACTGTAAGTGGTAATGGAGCCCAAATCATGAAATCAAATCTGTCCCAATTACTTTTCCCCACACAGCCTGTCAGAAATGAGAAAACACAAACCAAATCAGAGGCCACAGGGGTCTGCAGAGAGGGCTATGTGGACAGACATCTCCTACTCAGCCAGCTCCAGCAAGTGACAGAAAGGGGATACTAGGGGACCACAAAGGGCTCTATGAAAGGGGTAGAGGAAGCAATAACTGATCACAGTCTGCCAGGAAGGAGGGCCCTTCTGACACCCTGGCCCAAGGCATGGAGGGATTCTGCCTGCAGTCAGGATACAGAGACCCCACCTCCACTTTCTCACAGACCCCTCTACTACTTCTCCCTGCCCTCCGCAATAACTCCATCCCTGGTGCCCCTGCAGGATGGAGCGGGATGCTCAGTTCACACACAGGAAAGCAGAGAGGGCTACGCTAAGGAGCCACTTCCGAGACAAATACAGGCTGCCCAAGGTAAGCAGGCCTATGGCTATGGAGCTGGGATCCTGAGCACCAAGCTGGGGACTTCTTTGCCTCCACTCTGGAAGCTGCAGTTCTCAGCCCATAAGTTTCACAGGATGCTAGGTTCAACCCTTTGTTGTCTCACTCATTCACTCACTCACTCACTCACTCACTCACTCACCGTTAACTGGAGCTCACCAAGAACCAAGCCATGGTTTAGTGCAATGGAGAAGCTAGCCCTCTGCAGGTCAATAGGTTTGTATTTCTGGAGCCAGGCCAGGCCTTTTCTCTCCTCCTTGGTCAGGCCTGGGAAGATGAAGGCCAGGAGAGCCAGGGCCTGTGGAGGAAGCAGAATGTAGCAGATTATGGCTTCTGAACATACAAGGAGGGCAGAGTGGGGAAAGGAAGGCAGCACCCTCTGGGTGCCAGGCATTTAACTTTCACAACCTCGCCTAACCCCCCAATACCATGGTCAGGTAGAGATCATCCATATCTACAAGTGAGGAAACTGAAGCTCAGAGAGAGTAAGGAACTTGACTAAGGTCATTCAGCCAGTGAGCAGTGAAGCTGCGGTGGGAGCTCAATCCTGTGCATATTCAAGCACAACTTGCTCCAATTCCCAGGCTGCTTTCCAAGGTATAGGTTCTGCCTGCAGAGAGCAAAGTATCTCCTTCTTTGCCAAGCAGCCAGAGAGGATGTCTCAGGAGACTCCTGCTTCTATGCTCCCCCAGGCACTGCAGATCCAGACAGGCTTGTGTTATATTCCTATTGCTTCAGGAGAGAAACTGAGGCACAGCAACCCCTAGAGCATTACTTGTGTGCCCAGAACTGTGGTAGACTGAGGGGAAACAGAAGTACGGTAATACAGCACTCCTGACCTTGATCTTACACTTGAATTGGAAGATAAGGTACGTGAACATCACATTCATTCATTCAACAAATATTTACAGACCCCCTGGCCACCTCTGTCTCCCCCCAGGGCACCAGTCTTTTTGGAAGTCTCTCAAAGGGAAACTAGTCCAGAAAGCCTTCCTTTCTGGGACATCACCAAGTTATATCCATCTAGGAGTGGAGTCACTCCTCAAATGCCTACTAAGCATGTAAGTGACACAACTCCTGCTACTGGGGTATTCTGAGTCAGTAGAAGAGAGATTTGTATTCAATAGAGTAGGACATAATATAGAAAACCCAAGTCCCCACTCCTAGTTCCCCAGGGATAAGAAAATACAACAGCCATCAGTAGGTGCCATGCCTTGGAAAGAGAGCACAGAATCAATGATATGAGTTTAAATCTGGCTCTCCTATTTCCTAGTTGAGTAATGTTGAACAAATTACTTAAGTTATCTAAACCTCTATTTCCTTATCTATAAATAGAGATAATATCTACCTCACAGGATTACTGTGTGAATTAAAAATATCAATAGTGAACATATAATAGGTATTCAATAAATGGTACCCATCACTATTATTGCTTACTTCCTGCAGTATGTTTGATGTCATCCATTTTTGACTCAGTGACTCCATATGACAGAGTAGAGCTGCTCTATAGGGTATCCTAGGCTGTGATCTTTACAAGATCAGAGAGCCAGGTCCTTCTCCCATGGAGCCAGTGGGTGGGGGGTTAAAATCTCCAGCTTTTTCAGTTAGCAGCCAAGTTCTTGACCTTTGTGCTACCAGATTCCTGCAGTGTAGTTAAGGATAAACAGTTAGCATATGGCATAGATGGCTGTGACAGTGACTTGTAAGTATTTCCATTTTGTCTTTACTCACTATGCTGGTCCTTCAGTATCTCAGAGTGAGGGAAGGTGGTAAAAAGGGCAAGGTCTCCATGTTTAAGTGTCAAATGCTTGATCCTGGAATGTGGAGGTGGGAGGTAAGCTCGCTAGAACACGGGGATCAAGAATCCAGGGTCCTGGAACCCAGTCCAGGCCTCCTCCCTGTCCCCTCAACTCTGGGTGCTCACAGACTTCTGCCTCCACCTCATGCCCCTCCCATCTTCCCTTCAGAATGAAACAGATGAAAGCCAGATCCAAATGGCAGGTGGAGATGTGGAGCTGCCCCGGGAGCTGGCCAAGATGATTGAGGAGGACACAGAGGAGGAGAAGGACTCAGTCCTTGGGCAGCTGGGCAACATCCCTGGCTTGGACCTTGGATCACTCAAGGACAAGGCCCAGGCCACACTGGGTGACCTCAAGCAGTCAGCTGAAAAGTGCCACATCATGTGACCACTTACCCAGGATTACCCTCTGGGATGACTGGAGGGGTGGGCCCATATGAGGGCTAAGAGCATTTATCAACTCCTGGGGACCCATCCCCCATCTTGGGCTTTGTTTCCCCAGCCCCATTCTGGCTCTAGGACCCTTCTCATCCATACCCTAAGCCTGTCTTTTGGTCTCTCCTTCTCTTCTGGGAGTAAAGCCCCTATTCTTCACCATACCCCCTAAGACCCCCGTACTCAAACAAAGGAGGCCTTCTAAGGCTGTAGGAATAGGCCCATTCTTCTCTGATCATGGTCTCAAATTTCTGCACACAGGAGCACCCACGGAAAGACATGCAGAGGGACAAAAACCCTGGTCTGTTCAAAAGCATAAGACATAGATACATCCTTGCACATGCACATGTACATACACACACACACACACAGGGCAGCTCCCCTGGATGCCCAGCCCCTCTAGACACCACATTCAGATACACTCAGAGGTGGCTTTGGGTGGACATGGATCCTCAACAGACTCAGGAGTCCTGAATTTGAATCTCCACCTTTCCTGACCTTGAAAGCCACTGCTTCTTCTGGACTTTATTTCATCATCTGTAAAATGAGATGGACTAGGTGATTTCTAAAATTCCTCCTAGCTTGGCCTCCTGGGCTCTCAGAGCCAACCCCACACTCCTCCTTTCTTGGGCAGGGCAGCAGCTGCATCCACAGCCTCAGGCATCACTGGGCTGCCAACATCTTCACCGTGGGCTCTGGCTCTTGGGAGCTGGCAATGCCATGTGAGGGGCCAAGTGCCAGGGATGAAGCTGGCACTGAACAGCAGCCCAGACAGCTCCAAGCCTTCTTTGGGCCCAGGGCCCAACCAATTTCTGTTCTGTTCCTATAGAATTCTCTCTGGATTCCATAGCTGGAATCTCCTCTCCTAGCTCAGTGAAAAATAAATACTCCAAATGATGTGCTTATCTTCCTACTTCTCATTGACCACCAGGAGTTTTGGAGTTCACAGCCCCCAACTCTGCGCTTACAGTATCATCTGCCTCCTTACCCACAACTTCATAAGACAGAGGAGAAGTCCGGCGCCCAGTGTGGAAGTGTTTTCTGTGGGACACCCCTCTGGTACCAGCCCCTATAAGATGTTCAGACTCTATCCTCTTAAGGTTCTGGGGGAGGGTGTGGTCTCTGCCCTGACTGAACACCAGGCCCAGCTTGGAGCCGGTGAAATAGATCTTGACTTTGAGGAAGATGTGGTAGCCAGCTGGCTAGGGATGTACCTGGGGGAGGCGGGGCCTCTGGGGCTTTACCTGAGCCCATAGGATACATGGCTCAACTGCAGCTGTCTCTGGAACCTGTGCCTATACTCCCCTTCCCACCTTGAAGATGGCGGGTGTAAAAAAAGAAGGCAGAGCAACTGCGACCCAGCCTTGGCTCTGCTGCTTGACTTTGAGCTGGTCCCAGTCTCTCTCTGGGCCTCTGTTTTCTCCTTGTAAAATGAAGAAAAAGTCCCATCCAGTTGACCTGTTGGGGAATCTAGGAAGCCAACCATTCTAGAGTTCTAGAGGCCTGGGGCAGGAAGAAGATCCACTGCATGTGTCCCCCCACCCCCAGCCCTGGCCATCCAGGTCTGGGCCTCTAGGCTGCTGCTGTGACCTGTGCTTGTGGGGAAGACAGCCAAGATTTAAAGCCAGGAAGGGCCATCTGAAGGTTTGGTTTCAAGGGCAAACTTTCCACTCGGCCTCCTTTGTAAACTAAGAACAAGGAACATAAAACCTATCTATTGGGTAATGTGGGAAGGGATAGGTGGAAGAGGGGGAAGAGAAATAATGAGGAATTAAGAGGGGAGGGCAGGGAGGGAAACAGGCCCAGGGGTGGGGCGGTGCTGCTTGGCTGTCACACTGGGCCCCTCTCTCCTGAGCAATCCAGGGAAGGGCCTGGCCTCTGGGTTGCTCTTAGGCTGCCCAGGGAAGGGTTTGGTGGCCACTGAACAAAAAATGCCTCCTGACCTTCCTGGAGCTGGAGGAAACCCAATTCAGGGCCTCAGGCTGGCCAGGGGAGGCCGTGGACCCCCCCTCAGTAGCATCAGCAGCAAAGCCCACGTCAGCACTCCAGCCTCCAGCGGCCTTCTGCCTAATGGGAGCTGACAGACCCCTTCCCCTTCAGTGGTTTGCACAGCAGAGGTTGGGGGGAGACCCAGGGAGCCTGCACTCACTGAACACTCACAAAATCTGGCTGGCTAGGGCCTGAAGTTGGTGGGTGGGGCAGGGGGTGGAACCTCAAGAAGCCTCTGACCTGTCTTGTACCATCCCCGGAATGGAGTGGAAGTGGCTTTGGAGCAGAAAGAGCCAGCTCTGGGGTCTGGCAGAGATGGGTGAGGAGGGCAGGTGCAGGCTCCCCAGGCTTGCTTGGCCTCTCCCTGCCTCCTTCCAACAGTGGCCTCCCAGGGATATTTTCCTTTCTTCCACTCATTGGGTTTCTGTCAGTCTGCATCCTTCTCTTCTGTGTCCCCAAATCCCGTGCCTCATTCCAGGCTCAGGACTGCATGCTTGCTCTCAGCTAGGGGCTGACCTGGCCAAAGGAGAGCCCCTCTTCCCCACCTGCCCACATTCCCAAGCCTTCTGTATCCACAACTACTACTCTCTTCCCGTCTGTTTCTACTCCCAGTTTATCTAGACAATCACTTGCTCCCCATGGGTGTGATGTAAGGACCTCATAGAAACCCACTAGCCACCAAAGCTTCCCTTTTCATAGTGCCTGAAACCCTCCCATTAGGGCATCATAATTTGGAATAAGGCATTTACTTTCCTAGACCCTCTCCCCACTTGCTTCCTTCTATATTTCCTTCTTCTTTCCTTTTTCCTTCTCTCTCTTGTAAGCAGTCTGAGGATACAGGAAATGTTGAAAGATGGTAAAAGAGGCTCTCTAACTCCACCCCAAACACACTTTTGGGAGCTAAGGATGACCTGGTGAGGCCTACTTTACCTGTCCCCACCCTCAGGGTCTCTGGTTTCTTAATACAGGGGATTTCAAGGGGATTGGTGGCAGCCCTGCCCCACCCAAGGAGCCTCCAGCCCCCTTCTCCTGCCCTCTAGCCACCCACAGCCACCTTAGGCTCCCAGAGGGAGGAGGAGCTGCCTGGAGAGCAAGTGACTTTCCTGAGGCCAGCTGGCCCCCCAAGGAGATGGTGGGAGGCTGACCAGGGAGCTAGGTGGATCTCCCTTCCTGCCAACAGCCAGATGGTCTCTCCTCAGATACTGGAGGCCCCAGGCAGGTGCCGGGGACATCCGGTGGACGCTCATTTGCTGAGCTCAGGCTCTGGCAGTGCCTATTGACCCAGCTGATCTTCAACCCTGGTGAAGCTGAGAGTTTCTGCCTTCTCTCCTCATAGACCTGAATGGGGAGCCACAGAGCCTGCTAACCTGTCTCCATTCCGGTGCCTGGCATGCAAAGCCATTCCCAGAACCTGAGAAGGAAAAACAGGGGAGCCAGGGTGGGCTAGGTTTGGGGAAGCAGCAGCATTGAGGCTGCCTCAGCCTTATTCAGCAAGAGCTTTTCCTGTGTGTGTCTGTACATGGGACAAAGACAGAGAGAGGTCATGTCTTTATGGATCTGTGAGCTCATACCAAAACAAACGAAAAAAACAAAACCATTGCCTTGCGTTGATTCCAACTCGTGGTGACCCTACAGAACAGAGTAGAACTTACCCCGAAGAGTTTCCAAGGCTGTATTCTTTATGGAAGCAGAACGCCTGCTGCATTGTTCTTTTGTGGAATGCCTGTTGTTGTTGTTGTTGTTGTTATGTGCCATCGA